TTATGATGAATTAGAAGTGTTGTAGGTCTCCCTGGAGCTGGGCCTTTGGCTGAGTTGGTGGCTGGCTTTGTTTACACTCAAAGTACTGTGAGCTTTTCTGGCTCCCAAGTCTTTGGGCCTCTTTTGTGGGGGTGGGATCTCCCCCTCCCCACAGGAGTGCAGGGCAGTGCCAGAGGGCTGAAATCCTCCCAGCTGAGCAGGCTGCCAGTCCTCCCTTTGAGCTTTCAGGGTTCTTTTTGTTTAGTCCAAATAGTCTCTCTCTGAGCAGTGCCAGTGAGGCTTGATTTTAATAGCTTGAGGATCACCTTTGAAATGTGTAGTATGCTCAATGCAAAGATTCAGTTGTTGATAACAGTATTTAAAACTGTCTGCAACTAAAATTTTTTTAAAAGGTGTATTTGCATACAAGAACCTGGGGGACAGGCTAGAGGTGCAGGGGGTGAGTGGAGTCACCAGAGACAGAGTGGGGAGCAGAAAAGATAGGTCAGGAGAGGTCTGCCATGTCCTGTGGGTCACCTCCTGGGGATTGAACTCGTGCTGCAGTAGCATAGTTCTGCACTTAACCTGCTGCACCAGCAGGGAGGGCCCTGCAATTAATTTTTTTTGCTAGGTGACACTATCAAGAGAGATCAAGATTTACTATTAATTGACTATGTAAATGTTTTATTTTAAAGCCATATGAATACTAATTTGTCCTAAGAAACTATAGTGCAGAGCTTCTTAATATTTTACTATTGATATTTTCTGGCAGTTCCCCTCCCCCACTCCTGATACTAAAAGTCAGAAGTATCTCCAGGCATTGCCAAATGACCTGTGAGGGGTAGGAAGCAAAATTGTCCCCATTGAAAATCCCTGGTTTTGGGCCTTCCTGGTGGCTCGGGGATTAAAGTATCAGCACTATCTGGTTATCAGAATGATCCCCAGCCAGGGAGCTGGCCCACATGTTCCAATAGACCCTCCTGTCTCACTCACTGCTCCCCTCAGTAGTGTATTTAGGTAAACCTGCCTGTTCTGCTCCCCACTGTGTCTCTGATGAATCTTCTCACACTTCCCCCACTTATGGCGTACATCTTAGTTCTTGTATGCATAAATAAATAAAGTCTTTAAAAAATAATAAAATAGTAAAATAATAAGAATAAAATAATAAAAATAAATAATAAAAAATAATTAAAAAAAAAAAAAGAAACCCCTGGTTTGCAAAACTTGTATACAAATCCTCGCTCTGCTGCATTTTAGATGTTGGACTTTGGGCATGTCAGCATTCCCTAAATTTTGGCATTCTCACCTGCCAATGAGGGATAATAATCTTAGTCTGTAAGATTGGTGTTAGCATTAAGCTTAACAAGATACAGTTTATGGGTGGTATTCCCCTTCCTTATAACTTCATTGTTTACATGGTGACCAGATAGATGCCTTGCAACGTGGTGTTATATTTGTAAAAGACATCAGAGTTCTCTTTTTTTAGTTCAGATATGCAAAATCTTAAATCAGATCTGAAATTCCTCTTACAGTCAATTGTCAGAGAATTTTAGGGTAGAAGTAGGCCTATGAAGAAGAAATGATTAGTAGGAAAAGTAGTGTCTTTAGGACACTACTTTTTTTTAGTTTTAAACAGTGAGTAAAGGCTTATATAATAAATAATAATGGAATAAATAATAAATAAATAATAAATTCCAACCAGTAAAGGCATAAATATTAAGTTAAGTCATGCCTCATCAAAAACAAAACAAAACAAAACAAAAAAAACCCAGAATATCAGACCTTTTCAGGCAGAAACTTCATTATGCCTAAAAGTAATAAAGGTCATTCAAGCTGTATTTATAGAACATGCATTTTATAACAGGCCCTAGATAAGGTGGTGGAGATAAAGCAATGAACAAAAATCAGTGCCCATATGCATCTTAAATTCTAATGAAGATATGTATATATACACGCACACATATATATATATATATACATGATAAATTAAGAGTATGTTAGAAAGTGATAAATACTCTGGAAAAAAATAAAACATGGTTGGGGATGGGCTGTGGTGAATGAAGCTGCACAGAGATTTAAAGGGAATGGGTATAATCTGTAGAACTATCCAGAAGGAGAGAGGAGGAGAGCAGAGCAACTACTACTAAACAATACTCAGAGAGATGAACTACCATTAGGTGGAAATCAGGATTTTTTTAAAGATTGATTTATTTATGCATACAGAACTGAGGTACAGGCCAGAGGTGTGGAGACGGTGAAAAGGATTCACCAGAGACAGAGCGGGGAGCAGAACAGAGAGACTGATGAAGTACACTGCTGAGGAGAGCAGTGGGCAAGACAGAAGAGGTCTCTTGAGCCATGTGGGTCACCTCCCTGAGTGGGTATTGAACTTGTGTTGAAGCTGCTGCGGCCAGCTTCATAGTGCTGTACTTTAACCCACTGTGCCACAAGAGAGGGATTTTATTTTATTTTATTTTTTTTAAAGATTTATTTATTCATATAGAACTGGGGTACAGGCCAGAGATGCGGAGGGTGAGAGGATTCACCAGAGACAGAGTGGGGTGCAGAACAGGCAGATCGACGAAGTACACTGCTGAGGGGAGCAGTGGGCGGGTCAGGAGAGGTCTGCCACGCCATGTGGTCTCCTCTGGGGGCAGGCGGGAATCGAACTCATGCGGAAGTGGCTTAAGCTTCTCAGTGCAGTGCTTTAACCCGCTGCGCCACCAGGGAGGGCCCGAGAGGGATTTTATTTTAAGTAAATAACAAAATAGTTCAAGCCTTTTATATCATGTTGCCAACATTTTCTTTGTTATTTTTTAGAAAGGCTAATTGTCTTTATTAAACCATGAAGTAGGCAGCCCACCATAAATCCTGCTGAATAAAAGAAGGTCGAATATATTTTTTAAAATTTAAATGAATGTTTACTGCTTTTAGAGGTAAAAGCAGTAAAAAGGGGAAAAAAATCATTGTATTTCACTATGTGTAAAATAAAGACAGCCATAACAACCCAAGTAATTATTTGTTATAAATATAACAGTAAATGTTAACATATAGGGAGCTCATGCTGATTATAAGTACTAAAAAGTCCAATTGATTAATGAGCAATGATGTTTTCTCTCTTCTTTTTTTTTTTTTTGATAAACTATGATTTATTCACATATCTTGACATTTTATCTCCAACAAACCTTAACTTAGTCTTTACTTCTGGGAGGTTTCTCTTGCCTTTCCCAGATAAAAGTGATTATAGTAACTGTTCATTTAATATTGTTGATAAGGTTCTTAGAAACTGATTTTAAGCAAAATGATAAACAACAAACCAACTCCTCAAATAAATAATGTCAGCTGGTATTCTTTTTCCTCATCAAAGACCTAAGTGATGTTACTGAAGGACTTGCTGTATTCTATTATATATCTAGCTTTATTATTTTACAAGGCTAGGCCATGGAGGGGATAATATACCTATTTGTCTTCTTCCTACATGTATTTTTTTTTGTATAGACTTAAAATGTAAACTGTGAGGATAGAGCTCTTATCAGATTTGTTCTTTGCTTTATTTCTAGCACTTGGAAATAAATGCTAGATAAGTACTGATAAATTGAAGTTAATGTATCTAATTGATAGTTAGGGTCTGTTTGTCTTTTCTCAGTGAAAGTATTAAAACTAAAGTGTTGACATTTGCTAGTAGCCAACCCTTGGAAGACAAAGGTGCAATGCTTAAATCCTATCTTGCCTCATTTCTCCTATTTTAAAGGAAATTTTAAGCTCTTCCAAATTAGGAAAACTCACTTTGAAAGTCCTGTAGATGGCAGTATTTTCTTTACTCTGAAAATGTTTTCTGCAGGTCATCATCAAGAATATGGGCTGGAATCTTGTTGGTCCTGTTGTTCGATGCCTTTTATGGAATGATAAGGAAGATGACAAAAGAAAACATTATTCTCTGATGCTTGATTTATTGGTAAAGGTAAGTTAACAGAACTAGGGTTTCTGTGATAATGCATACCAGCATTTTAAAATTTCCTTTCAGTATTTAATGTTTATTTTTGAACAAGCATTAGTGTTTGCTTTTGAGAAATCTTTCAGTTCAAGAAAATGCAGGCGGGAACTCTTTGGAGAACAGGCTTGTCAACCTTCTCAATTGTATGGGCAGTTTCACTTCCATTTTTCCAAATTTTTTAGATGTAAGATTTATCTAAGCTCATCTCCAAAAAGAGACTTAAGCTATTTTTAACAAGTAGCCCATTGTAATTGATGTGGAATTCAAAATCTAGCTAGATATTCAGGGCCACAGTGATCTTTTGTCAACATTGGAACTAAAAGTAAATTTTAAACTCTTTCTTCTTTGGTAGGTTCTCTAAAAGAGTATGAACCAGCTAGAATGCAAGTGCTAACAGGAAATAGGAAGAGTAAGTAGATTAGCTGTGACAGACAACTTTAGAAAGAGATCTACTGGTAAAGGTTAATAGAGTTAGGAATCAAAAGTGATAGTTAATGAAGATAAATTCTGAGAAGAGGACATTTTAAGAAGATACCTAGAGATCGGTGCAAATAAACACAAACATACATGAAAAGAGGTAACTTCATTTAGATATAGTTATCAACTAAGGCGGCATCTTTAAAAACCAGGCAAGAGAGATAGGATATGGCCACTTAGAAGACAGTAGTTTTTTTCTGTCCAGGAAGTATTGGAGAGACTTGACTCATTGAAACAACCTGGCGGTGTGAACCAGGTTTCTCCTGCTGGAAACTTTTGAAAACTAAGGCATCCTTTAGCATACACAGGTACAACACAAAGGAAACCTCAGCTCTGATAATCATGCTCTCCCTTACCCTGTTTCTCTGACTTTCTTTAGCCAAGACCCTTTGACTTCTTGCTTTCTAGTTTTACAAGGGACTTGATAGTCACACACTCTATATTTCACTACTGTATTTTTATAATTATTAAATGAAGTGTTTTACTGTTGAGCAAAAATAATTATATTTTCTCAGTATATGCCTTGTAAAAATAGTAATCATGTGGCTTTAAATACAACTTGTATTAAACAGGTTCAATTGTGAATATTTTTATAGTTATGTAATCCAAAGGAATTATTGTTGGGTTTGCTTGAACTGATTGAAGAGCCCTCTGGAAAACAGATATCCCAAATTGTTCTTCTTTTACTTCAGCCATTGCAAACAGGTAATGAGCACTTGATATCTGAATGTTTCCTGTTTTATATGTATAAAGACCTTGATATTACTACAAAATGTCAACACTATACTAAAGTAAAGGTTTTGATGATTATTGAGTATTCTTCTTAAACTAGTAATAGCAATGCTGATTGAATTCTGATTATAGAAGATGATAATAACTGGTACAGAATGGGTACTCAATAAATACTTGCTGAATATCGTACTATTTTTCATGTGCTATTTTGTGATAACCTATAGCTTCTGCCTAATGTTCCTATATTCAGTTTATATCTAGAATCTTTCTTGTAATCATTGAAAGGATTACTTCAGTGGTATTTGCAGTACTCAGTCTGACAGCTGTGTGGTAGAGCTGTGCTATACCTTGCTAAAAACAGTCTCAGGCAGGGTGTTGCAGAACCTCTGCATAGAACCTCTGGGATTTTGGGATTGAGAATAGCAAAGGTACTGCTGAAGATAGAAACATGTATGGAAGGAAAAGGCTCTATGGCTGAGTATAATATTAATATATATATAATCAGTATATAATATTAATAGGCAACAAGTAGTGGTAGCTAAGGCAGACAGTATTTTTCACAGGAAAGACTTCTTTTTCATTTAATGACCTACATAGTACTGAGTCTGATACAAGGACCCAGAATCTGGAGTTAGAGGAAAAAAATGTTTAAATATGAATGTTCCTCAGTTTTGCCCCACTTGAAATATTTAATTTCTTCCAAAAAAGAAAAATACAAAGATACTGCTTTCCATTTTATAGTGTTTTATAGTTTGTAAGAAGTTTTCTCAAGTTATTTTGTACTTAACCCAAGAAATATAAGAAGTGTTTGTTTTTAGTATGTAACCTGTTATATACTATAGTAAGTATATTGTTTATTAGTATATAAACATAGTTTATATGTTATAAACATACATTGGCATCTATTTTTTTAAAGATTGACTTATGCATAAAAGAACTGGGTACATGCCACAGGTATGGTGGGTAAGAAGATTCACCAGAGATAGAGTGGGAAACAGAACAGGCAGATTGACTGAAATACACTGCTGAGGGAAGCAGCAGGAAAGACAGAAGTCTGCCATGCCATGTGGGTTTGCTCCCTGGTCAGGTATTGAAGTTGTGTTACAGTTGATGCTAATAGCTTTATAATGCTGAGACTTAACCCCGTGCCCCACCAGGGAGGTCCACTTTGGCATCTGTTTTGACATGCCATGATTGTAAGATACTTCATTATTACTAGGGGAGAGGAAACAAACTGCCAATTAAGCTATGATATCTCATCCTAATTTTAAAATTATTAAAATATGAAAAAATGTGTATAATTCCATATTTACTGAACTTCTATATATTTAGCATCCTTGATAAGGCTACCTCAAGTAATAATTTGGTTTCTGCTTTAGTGATTCAGAAACTTCATAACAACAAAGCATATTCAGTTGGATTAGCATTGTCTACACTTTGGAGTCAGCTCTCTCTCCTTCCTGTTCCATACTCTAAAGAACAAATACAAACAGATGATTATGGCCTTTGTCAGTGTTACAAGGCCTTAACAGAGTTCACTAAACCTTTTGTAGAAGAAGTGATTGGTGACAAACAGAGCTCACTGGAAAATACAAAGTTAAAGGATGAGATACTGAAATTGTAAGTATATTTTGAAGACTATTTCACAATTGAAAAGTGGTAGCTGTTTTATCTTTTGCTTGTCATGGAAATATAAATCTAATTTGAAATTGTAAAATTTTAGAATAGGGAACATGTTGATAAAATATGTGCATTTAATGAGGCACTGACTTTTTTTTTTTTTTTCCAATTAACCAAAATCCACTAGTATCATAGAAAAAACGTGCACTGTTCCATTGCCTGTCAGGCACTGGATGTATGGGTAGCCCAAATTTAGATACACTCTAGGAGTAAAATAGCTCCTTAAATTTTGAAAATTATTTTAAAAATTAACTACCTCAATAGTTTTTTTTTTTTAAAGATTTATTTATTTATTCATATAGAACTGGGGTACAGGCCAGAGATGCGGAGGGTGAGAGGATTCACCAGAGACAGAGCAGGGAGCAGAACAGGCAGATCAACGAAGTACACTGCTGAGGGGAGCAGCGGGAGGGTCAGGAGAGGTCTGCCACGCCCTGTGGATCTCCTGGGGCAGGCGGGGATCGAACTCATGCGGAATTGGCTTAAGCTTCTCAGCACTGTGCTTTAACCCTCTGTGCCACCAGGGAAAGCCCACCTCAGTAGTTTTTATACTGATATAGTTTGAAATCGTATTTCAGATATATTGCATTAATAAGATAAATTATTAAAATTAATTTTTCTTGCTGTGTTTCTAATGTGACTACAAAAAGTTTAATTTTAAATGGGTCTCATATTATATTCTCATTGGAATATGCTGAACAGAATTACTGAATTATATGGACCAGTAATTTTATTTTTAAAATTTTAGAGTCTGAAAGCTGTTACTTTCTGTTTTAATGGGTTGGGACAGTAAATTTTTTTTATCATTTACAAGACAATTTCATGAAAGGAAATATTTTAAAGAAATTAGAGTGTTGATCACAGAATTAAACAAATAACAGCTGCGTGAAAAACTTTCTACATCATTTTCCCTTGAACTATTAAAAATTATATCATGGACTAACACTAGTTTTCAGACATTGATTATCTATTCATAGTGTCCAGACATGGAAATAAATCTCACCACATTGAGTTTTCAGGAAGGTGTTCTCATGCTCTCCTATTATTAGTAAGAAGAATCTCCATCACCAGTTTTATAGGCTATTGAGTGATTCATGCTTTTGTTGTACTTCATGTAGACATGTTTATAGAACTAGATATTTTATACTCAGAAAATGATATATTCATAGTTATCCATTTTTTATGCCTTAGTTGTTTCAAAAGTTTGAAATGCCCTTTGCTGACAGCACAGTTCCTTGACCAGTCTGAAGAAACTGAGAATGACCCTTTAAGGTGTTTTGCATCTGAAATAATAGTAAGTATATGTGATTTAATCTGTTAAAACCTGAAATATTATCCTGTTGTATTCTTCTGTATACAGATGGGCATGTAAATTGATATACTTACTACTAAAGCAGTGTGTATTTTTGTAGAACACAGATAAAAAATAAATTGATATACTTACTACTCAATTGATATACTTACTACTAAAGCAGTGTGTATTTTTGTAGAACACAGATAAAAATAGAAAATAAATAGAAATAATTTCATACACGAATATAAAATATTAATATTCTGCTTAGTCATAAATAAGTACACACACATATAATAATTTCTTCAAAGGTTCTATTATTAATGTACTCTTCTGTGATCTACTTGCTCAGTATTAGGAATTTTTTAAAAAAGATTTATTTATTTATTTTGTAGAAGAATGGGAAAGTAAGCCAGAAATGCAGGGGTAAAAGGATTCACCAGAGACAGAATGGGAGTAGAAAAGGTGAATCTACTGAAATACACTGCTGTGGGGTGCAATGGAGAAGACAGGAGAGGTCTGCTGCACTATGTGGGTCACCTCCCTAGCCTGGGATCGAACTCAAGCCTTTGTGGTGATAGCATTGAGATTTAACTCCTAGGCCACAATGGAGGCCCAGGCATGTTTTTCTGTTGGATTAATAGTATTAGATGTGGCCCTTTCTGGTGGTACAACAGGTAAAATCGCAGCACTGCAAGCTAGTCATAGCCGTTTCAGTGCGAGTTCTATTCCCGGCCCTGGAGATGACTCACGTGGTGTGGCAGACCTCTCGTGACCCGTCCATTGCTCCCCTCAGCAGTGTACTTCATCAGTCTGCCTGTTCTGCTACCCACTCTTTCTCTAGTGAATATTCTCAACACCCCTGCACCTCTGGCCTGTATCCATAAATAAGTAAGTCTTAAAAAAATTGTGTCAGATGTTACAGGCTTAGCATAGTATATTTAACCCACACCATTACAGTTCAACATGTACATATTTTCCAATATTATATAAAACAATATTTTCTCTAATTGATAAATATCCTTTTAACTAGATCTCTGCCATTTCTTTAATTATTTCCTTGAAATGTACAGAAATGGGATTTCTGTACCAAAAGGAATCCTTTTAGGACTCATAATAAATATATTCAAAATGCTTAGTTTCAAAAATAACTCCAGAAATAAGTACATTTTATTTTAAAAGCAATGTAGTTGAAGATATCAAGAGTTTTTAAAGAGAGGATAAGATAAATGAGTTCAATTGGTGTTGATGAAGGGGTCACAGGATTTTGGTGGGTGCAGTGTAAAATGTATTTGGAAATACATTTAAAGCTGTATTTCTAAAATGTATTTTGTTGTAAACCAGTGTTACTTTACCTTAAATAATATTTTATAATATTGTTCTGTATTAGGGGGCTAATCTGAAAAACAGAAAAATAGATACTTGTTTTAAAGGCATGAATTTCAAGTTAGAGTGCTCATTGTAACTGGATTTTTTTAGCCATGTTTCTTCAGCTACATGAATGCAGGTGCTCCATAGGAGGGACACTCGATCTAATTAGGTTGGGGCTTGAGAACTCAGTAAATTTTACAAAGCAAGAAGGACAAGGCCACTAAACATGCAAAGGGTTAAGTAATGAACAGTGTCATTTCGGCTAAATAAGGGAAGGAGTCAGAACAGTGAAAAGGTGAGGTGGTCCCCAGCTTATAGGTCCTGGTATGCTTAACAAAATCTTGGGGTTAGAGGTTAGATTACTGAAAAAGTGAGCTGGGAGGATCAGAAGTTAAAGGACTAGATGCTTGAAATAATAATACAGAAAGGTTATAGTTACTAATAACTGTCTGGGATATGATCATGAGAATGAGCCTTCTATAGTGAGAGTAAGGTCCAAGATCACTGAACGAGGCAAGGTGAAGTAACTGAGAGTTCATGGTATTAAAAAGTATTAAGGTGTGCGTTTAAGTCACAGAATTTTAATGAGTAATGTTAGAAATGGAGTGATCCTGGGATCTATTACTGTGTGCAGCAAGGAAGGGGTAAAGTTGGTAAAAATCACGAGATGATTTTTAAATATCAGAGATTTTAAAGAGAAGGGAGAATGGTGTCAGAAGAGTTGAGTAGATGATAGATATATCACAGAAACTGGGATAATTGAATTTTAGGAAGAAGTAATTAGAACTTAAATGCAGCAGAAAGAGCCTGTAAAGTGTTTAAAAAGTATTTGTTGGATTTGTGAAATAAGAGTATTGGTAATCTCTGCAATAACTATTAGAATGCAGTGTTGGAGACAAAAATCAGTGGAGTGGAAAAGAAACACAAAAAAGAATAGCATGAACTATTCTTTTAAAAAGTTTCATTGTGTTAAGGAAGGCTAGACAATAGGGGCTTAGGTTTGGAAGGCTATGGAGCTTAGGTGGGGAGGTTTGAACATATTAAAGGCTGCAGAGATGGAGGGGAGAAAAGAAGTGTTAACAGTTTACTGAAATTATGTGACTGGAAAGCAGAAGGCTGGGCATAGGATGAAGAACACCTAAAGAAAAGGAGGTAAGAACAAAATTGCAAGTTGAGAAATTTGTAGCAAGAATGGGATATTATATCAGATTTCTAAGTGAAGGAGATCTCTCAAGAATGAGGAGGTAGGGCTCTCCCTGGTGGCACAGCTGGTTAAAGCACAGCATGTAGCCACTACAACATGGGTTTGATCTCCAGCCAGGAAGGTGACCCACATGGTATGGCAGGCCTCACCTATCTCTTCTGCTGCTCCCCTCAACAGTGTATTTCAGTACATCTGCCTGTTCTGCTCTCCACTCTGTCTCTGATGAGTCCTTTCACCCCTGCACCTCTGACCTGTACCCCAGTTCTTGTAGCATAGATAAATCTTTAAAAAAAAAAAGAATTAAGAAAGTAGGCAGAAGTAGAGGTTGAAAGGGGGCTTCAGGAAAGGTTTGGAATACATCTGAGGAGAAAGGAAAGAGAAATGGTGAAAAATAAAAGAGAATTAATAGTAATAAGTACTTAACTGTGATTGGAGAGTACAAGTGTAGTAAACTGCATTTTTATGGGTTTTTTTTCTCCACTAGTATTCAACTACCTGGATGTAGAAGTAGAGGAGGTGGGTGGTAGCTATTTTTCAAACATTTTATTGGATAGATGCAGCTAAAGAAAATTGCAGGATTCAGGTAGTTCCAGTGACTAATTTGTTGACTGTTTTGGAAAAGAAGAACTAGGAGGGGGTCAAGTGGGTTAAAATGAAGGAATACAGGACTGGAGAAGTCAGAAAAAGCACATTCATAGGAGAAATAGGGCAAGAAGTTATGGTCAGAAAATGAGTTGTTAGGGCAACAAGTTAAAGTGCAGCTATGAAGCCGTCCACAGCCACTGTAGCACAAGTTCAATCCCTGGCCAGGGAGGTGACCCACATGGTACAACAGTGTCTCCTGTCCCGCCTGCTACTCCCCTCAGCAGTGATTTCAGTGGATCTGCCTGTTCTGTTCCCCACTCTGTCTCTGGTGGTCTCTCACCTCCCAGACCTCTGGCTTGTACCCCAGTTCTGTATGCATAAATAAATCTTTAAAAAAGAAAATGAGGGTCCTCCCTGGCAGCACAGTGGGTTAAAGCACAGCACTAAGAAACTAAAGCCACTTCAGCATGAGTTTGATCCCTGCCCCAGAGGTGATCCACATGGTGCGGCAGACCTCTCCTGACACACCCGCTGCTCCCCTCAGCAGTGTACTGAGGGGACCTGTTCTGCTCCCTACTCTGTCTCTGGTGAACCCTCTCACCACCCTTGCACCTCTGGCTTGTACCCCTGTTCTATAAGCATAAATAAATAAATCTTTAAAAAAAATTTAAAAAAGAAAAGGAGTTGTTGGAATTTATGTATATAATGTGGAGTAGTTTCAGATGTTGACAGATATGGGATAGGTGCGGAAATGGATTAGAGATTAAGGTGACTAGAATTTGGAAATAAACCATGAATGTGACCTATTAAGAAGAGTCATGTCTATTTAAACATTCTCAGGATCATAACATAGTTGGATAGAGAAAAAGATTGGGAGCAGGTGACCAGGAAGTTAGCATATGACAGGTGAGGAGATGAAAAGGCAGTGTGCATCTGTCGTAGAGGAAGTTGTGCTTCTGCTTGAAAGTGCAGGAAGAATCAAGATAACGCTGAGTCTTTCTCCATATTACCCTCCCCTATTGCTGCCTTCCTGTCAGTGCAATGTAAAAAGTGTGAAAGGATAAGCCATGTACACCAGGAATCAGCCAGGCTTAGAACAGTGACTAGAGTGAACACCTATGAAAAAGTTGAGGGTACAGAAGAGAGAGGGTCTATGATCTCAGTAGAAGGATCATTACAAACAGAAAGGGCCAGCAGTGGGAAAGCACAAAGCATTGAAGAGCTGAAGTGAAGACAGTAGATGAAGTGAGGTGGTTGCCTTTTGTTCTATACTGGAGAAGTTCTGCTATCTGTACTGTTGCAGTGGATCACCTTAATCATCCCTGCTGGGGCACAAGTTATTTTGTTACAGAACTGCTTGAATGTCACTGGGACTGGAACAGTACTGAAAGGGCAGAGAAATTATACTGTGAGACGGAGTGGCAGCTATCTCCTGAGTCTGAGCAAGATTGCTAAATGATACTTGGCTGTACGGTGAGAAGCCCTGATTTTGACACTTGGATCCCAGATGTCCAGAACAGCACAATAGTACATGATTATAGATGATGATTTTTCAAACACCAAATGATTTCATTCACGTAAAAGAGAAACAAAATAAAGGACCAGACAAATCCAAATTTTAGACCTCTGACTGTAAATTGAGAATGTGAGGGGGGAAGAGGAAGAAAGGAGACCAGTGGGTGGAAGGCTATGTGGGGCCTTGGTGTGTGTAGTGTGGCAACATGCATATGAATAACTGTGGAACTGTACCTGAATTATGTACAGTATTGTAAATAATTAAAACATTGTCTTGAGTAGAACACTTAGGCTATATAGATGCAAAGCAATGCATCTAGTTCTTGGCAGTTTATGGAACAATATAAGAGCATATGTCGTTTATTACTCAGATAGCTTAATAAAAAAGGAATATATAGTTAAACAATTAGGCTAACAATGTGGGAAAAAATCTGCTCGTGCCACATGTAGCATTGACTAGATAAAGAGGATATTTGGAACCTGAGCACCAAACTTTCTATGTTACAGTTATTATAAAAATGTGTGGCTTTGAAAATCAGTACTGCAGTATATATTTAGCAATAGGTAGCTGAATAGCAGTCACTTAAAGCTGAGGATGATTCTCTGTGTTTTTGTGTATGTGTGTGTTTTGAGAAGCCATCTGGGATCAATAGATTTTTAACTGTCTGAAGTCTGGAAAAGTATTATTTATTAGCCTTTATAATTCCCCACAATGTTAGGCCTAGTGCCTGGAGTGCAATTATTTATTGCATAAGTGAGCAAATATGTGTGATTTCTGTGTTCATCTGATTTAGCTGTTACTGTTATTTCCTTTTGAATCTATATGGTAGTTTGTGATGAGCTCACCTCCTTAACTTTCTTACTTTTTTAAAAAAGATTTCTTTATTTATGCATACATACTGGGGTACAGGCCAGAGGTTCAGGGATGGTGAGAGGATTCACCAGAGATTCACAGAGCAGGGAGCAGAACAGGCAGACTGACAAAGTAATACTGCTGAGGGGAGCAGCGAGACAGGAGGTCTGTAGTGTCACGTGAATCACCTCTGGGGCTGGGGATTGAACTCACAGCGAAGCAACCAGCTTCACAATGCTGCGCTTTAACCCGCTGCGCCACCAGGGTGGGCCCCTCTTACACTTATTTGTGGAACTTCTCAATAAATACTGGAAATATTATGTCTTTTTCTACATAAGAAAACTGAAGTTCAGAGCAGTTACTTACACAACTCATCCAGTATCTCCCAACTAGTAAGTGATAGAGCCCCAAATTGAACTCAGTTCTATCGGACTCTCAAGGTCAGGTGCTTTCTTCTGTATTAAAAGTAGAAATAGAAGAGGTATAGGAGTGACCCAGTGTTGCCCGAGTCTCTCTCTTTCTCTCCTCTTTCCATAGGGGAAAATAAAATTAAGTAATCTCTTTTGTTTTCCTTCTATGAACCCATATTACTTGTAATACCAGCACCATTTCCGCAGCTTCTGTAGCCACTGACCAGTGTTCCTCCTGCTCACTCTGTTCTAGGCATCAGTGGTCCTTGGGAGGATTATTCCTAGATTATTTTTCATCTCAGTCATAGTAGAGTCTGCTATAGTTTCCCTTTTTTATCCATTTCACAGGGATTTTTGTCAACAATTGGACACCCTATACCCAAAATGATATTTAATCACGGAAAGAAAAAGAAAACTTGGAATCACCTTGAATTTGAAGAAGAAGAAGACAAACAATTAGCAGACTCTATGGCTTCTTTGGCATATCTAGTATTTGTACAGGGCATCAGTATTGATCAGCTGCCAATGGTGTTAAGGTAGGAGTTAAGTGTTTGGCTTCTTCATGTATTCTAAAAAGAGTATTAACCGATGTATCTAATGCCCTATATATTATATGTTTATTAATGTACTAATACATTTTAAATGTAAGCAAAAAATTTAAAATAAATTATACTACCTATAATCTCTTAAAACTTATAATAATCAAGAAGTGAAAAAGGTGGCAGAGTGGGGTGTTGAAATTGATGTATGGGATTGATGGGGCTGGAGTCAGAAAGAGATAAACTGGGCTCTATTTTGAAGCTGTTGGGCCCACCCCACTATAAGGAAGGGAACTGGCCAGTTACCCATGAGACTGTCTCAGTTACCATTATCTTCTCATGGGATTACTATGGCTATCCTGAGTGAATAATTATATATCTTCGCTCCTTTTTCAGCTCATCCTCAACACACTAGAAAGCAAAGCTTTAAGAATAGGCCCTTCTGAAGACCCACAGTGGCTTCTTAGTGCTCTAAAGATAAAATAAATGCTTTCATGTGAGACAAGTTTATGCATGATCTATCCCCTGCTAGATTGTCCTTATTTACCTACTACTTCTCTTCATCTACTGTGCTCCATTACACAGACCTTCTTTTGGTTTCTTGTTCAGATATACCACAAATCTTGCTATCAAATCTTTGGATCTTTATTCTTAAATGTCACTTTATGAGGAAGCTTCTCTTATCACCCAGTTCCAGTTGAATCTTGCAGCTGTAATGACCTTAGACCTATTCCCACATAATTTATCAAAGTTGTTTTTAGAAGTAGATACATAATTATATAATGTAATACCTTCTAGAATTTTGGATTCATAAGAAGAATTATCCATTTGTCTTGCAGGCCCTGGGTTTATTTTTGTGTGTACATTTATGTTTTATGTATGAATATATCTAGAGATTATTGATCTGTAAATATGTAATAATGGCTACCACTTGCATGTTTACCATGTATCAAAACCTATGCTGAGGCTTTATGTGCATTTTCCAACTTTTATAATAACCTTCTGAAACAGCATTATCTGAAAGCAAGCTTAGACAAATTCAGATACAAGATTATACAGCTAATTGGTGGGCTGATGGAATTCAAACATTGTTCTCTGATCCTAAAGCTTATACTTTTAATCACAGTCACTACTAAAATGATTTAGGTATGTGTATTAGCTTGCTAGGACTACCAAAACAAAGCACCAAACATCTTAAAATAGCAGAAGTATGTCATCTCTTAGTTTTGGAGGCTAGAAATTCAAGGTCTAGTTGTGAGCAGGACTGTGAGGGTTAATCTGTTCCATACCTCTTCTCTAGTTGCTGGGGAGTTGCTGGAAATCCTTCATGTTCCTGGGTTTTAAATGCATCAGTCCAATCTCTGCTTTTGTGCTCATCTGGTGTTCTTCTTGTGTGCATGTTTTTGTTCCGACTTCTGTTTAATAAAGACATCATTTATACTGAATTAAAGCTTACACTAATGACCTCACTTTAATTTATTACCTCTTTAAAGACTCAGTCTCCATAAAAGGTCATGTTCTGAGATAGTTGGAGTTAGCACTCAAAACATTTTTTTAACAGAGAAAAAATTGAAGCCTTAACAGTATTTATGTAAGTTTTCTAAAAATGTATATATGTATATGTATGTATACATAATTTTTTTTTGGTCTGTTTTAGCCCATTGTACCTTTTGAAATTTAATATGGGGCATATTGAAGTCTTTTTGCAAAGGTAAGATTACTTAGATCACATATCAGAATTAAATAATAGCATTAAAATATTCTGTCAAAATCATGGGAAACTACCTTTTTTGCCAGATCTGAATTAATTATTATATCAAACAGTGATGGCACACGGGTGATTTGGTGATAGGAAGCCCACAGGGATTACAACTGAGATGGAAAAAGGCACAAAATGATGTAAAAATAAACTATTTTTAAAAAAAAACAGATTAATTTACACGTGTAGTATATAAGCAAAAAAAAAACTGTGAAGTTTGATAAAAGAGACAGAAATGAGCAAGCAATTTTATAATAGCATCTTTACTTTTAGATTCAAGATAATATTAAAATACCTATAAGGAGATTCTAAGTTTCTGAGGTTTCTCTCCTTATTTCAGAAGTTAGTAAATTATGAAGCTACCTCTATTTAAGGAGGAGTGGTCAGTAAAAGAAATTCATCCAGCTTGTTTCATGGATATGACCTAAGAACTGCATCAAAAGGGAAAAGGTGTCTTGCCTCCACTTTTTATAACTTAAAAGAGTATTGATACTGGTATGTTTCAAAAACTTTGTTTGAGATGCTCAGAAGCAGCAAAGCTGTTTCTTTTTAAAAAATTACAAAGTAACAAGTATGCATAATTTTTCAGGCAGATATTTAAGAATTTTACAAAACTCCATATGCTGTTTTCTTTTCCCTACAATGTCCAAATAATCCCTTGAGATCAGTCAGGGCTTATTAGTACTATCCACTGGGAACACTGGTGATATTTTATAAATCCTACCTCTTTTAGGTGATGGAAGATTTGTAAGATGGCAAACGTCCAAAGCCTCTGACTACAAGGCAGGAATCTCAAAGGGTGTCCTGGCACAAGTAGTTATTAACAATAAATTTATTATGTATTTCTTAATGATTTTACATTTTTACCTCATTTCTTTTATAGTCATATAATGACAATACGTACTAATTTGAACCATATGTTCTGTATTTTTGAGATTTCAAATGGCTTAGTCAGTCATGAGTCAGAATAACTTACACCTCTTTGCAAGGTTAGAATAAGAACTTGGAGCCTGAGATTATATTTTGCCACAGAGCTTATTTACTTAATGATGGTAAGCTTTTTAAAAAATAGAACCTTTTTGTATAAAAGTAATTGAGTAATATTTTATAGAGTTATCAACTGGAATATATATGGCATATAATTGATTTAGCATTTGCTGCTGAAGCTCTGTTAATTTGATACCAGGAAATAAGCTCTGAATGGGTTGACTTTGGTCAGATTTCGATGTCACTAGACAGATCAAAACCAGATTAAGACTTCATGAAGTTCTTCAACAGAATTTCTCCTTAATAGTATGTATTTTTAAGGTCTTCAATTTCAATTTTTGTCGTTTCCTAAAATGAATACTAAAACAATTTATAAAATCATGTTGATAAATATTAATATTCTTTTCCAGAACAGAAGAGTCTGTCTTCTCCAAAGGATTGGTAAGATTTTTTTTGTACCCATTATAATTTAAATACACACACATCAACAAGTACAGCTATTGACATACCATATATATCTATATATATTTTAATCTGTAGGATCTGTTGGAGAATGGTTTATTGAGAATAGAAGACAACAGTTTACTTCACCAGTATTTAGAAATTAAGAGTTTTCTTAGTGTACCTCAGGTAAGTAAAACATGTATTCTTATCTTGAAAATACCCCCTTTCCTATACTGAACTAAAGATCCATTCTAATTCCTCTCCCATTTTCTTCTTCCTATCCTTTAAAAATTCTAGTGCTGTGCAGACCAGGAGAACTTTGTGTGATGATGGAAGTGTTTTGTTATTTATTTGGTAAAGTGTGAAGCCACAAGCCACACTGAACCCCTGAAATGTTGCTACAGGAGTTCAATTCCAATTTTAATATTTTGTTTCTGTAGGAACCTTGAAAAATTAAGCTTCCTTACTTTTCCTATAACTCAGGTCCTCAAAACTCCATTAAGATGTGTACTGACTCAATACTAGACATTTTGTTTTTCCTATGATTTATTTTGTCTTGTATTTTGTTAAATATCATATCTAGGTAGGTTCATAAGAGTTGACATAAAAACATGTTTGGGGGCTATAAATAATCAAAAAAAAGCTAGTACAGCAAAAAATAGTACTTAGACTGTGAAAAATATACTGGTTACCAGAAGGGAAGAGGAGTTAGTTGAAGAGTGGTTAGTAGAAGGAAGAAGATAGGACACTGGCACGGGAGTTTTGGTGGAGGGTGAGTGAAACGTGTACATATGGCTATAGGTAAGGAAATACGCATACATAAATACAGTATTTATGAATGACAAAATGAGGAAAAAATATAACTTGTATTTAAACCTAATTATTTTTAATAAGTGAATTATAATTCTGTATGTTTAATTTCATTTTCTTGCCTATTTAGACAATCAAAAATTACCATTCACTTCCAAATTCACATTCTGTAACACTCCAGTCAGTCTCACTTACAAAATGGATATTTAGATTCCACAGACATAACAGTGAAAAAAAAGACTTAGAAAATTTATTTCACTTTTCAATCACCTAGGCTCACTTCTCTGAATTTTTAATGTTCACTATTGATCATATAGTTGTTTACTGTCTAATTTATTACAACTGAATTATTTTTTTCCTCTTCCAGGGCTTAGTCAAAATAATGACACTTTGCCCCATTGAAACATTGGTATGTAAGTGTTTTAGAGCTAAATAATAATGAGTTGTAGTGGAAAATTGAATAAATAATCGAATCTTTATTCATTTTATATAACAATGTTATTTGTTCCATTTTAGAGGAAAAAGGGTTTAGCTATGCTTCAACTGTACATTAATAAGTTGGATTCACAAGGCAAATACACATTATTTAGGTATGTACCAAATGTAGTTAATTTTCAAGTGTGTAACTGATTAAAATCCATATTAATACCATGTTGTTATTAATTATATTATTTTAGTATGTTTTATAAATAGTTCAGCTGTACTTGGAAGTCATAAAATATCCTGTGATGAGAAGGGTTAATCAATTATTATTAATATGTCATACATATACTACATGAATAATAGTATATATCTCAATTAATTGAAGTACTTTTAAATTAAAATACTGCTCCTGGCTCTCCCTAGTGGCGCAGCTGGTTAAAGTGAAGCACTATGATGCTATCTGTACCCTTTGGCTAGGGAGCTGACCCACATGACATGGCATACCTCTCCTGACCTGCCCACTGCTCCCCTCAGCAGTGTATTTTAGTACCTCTGCCTGTTCTGCTCCTTGCTCTGTCTCCAGGGAATCCTCTCACCCTCTCAGTATCTCTGACCTGTACCCCAGGTCTTGTATGCATAAATAAATAAATCTTTTAAAAAAGACTGCTCCTTCTGAGACATTACATATGTCAGTAACCTCCATTTTTCACATGTGAATTTAATAGCTGTAGTTAATAACTTTGACAGGACATTCACTGTAATAAAAAAGATTATTAATAGTGCTATTTTGCAAAAATCCTTGCAAACCTGAGTTAAACATTGGCAAATGTTCTGTTCAGGTCTCTCTGTATCCCTACCAAGAAACCTCCCTTTCGTTTAAGCTCTTATACTGAGTTTCCTTTCTTTGCAATTTAGTCCATCCAGACTAGTCCACTGTGACAGAAAATAACACTATTTGTCCTGGGTTATCATTATTAAATCTCTATAACAATATGCATAAAAAATTCGATTTTAGCTTAATATAAACTTCTTGTTGGAAAGATCTAGTTGAAAAGTAATCTGTCAGCAATAACCGTCACAGGTGACTATGTAACTGATTCATCACCTTTATAACTTGTCTTAAATGTGATTTTTGTATTCCTAGAAATAACAGGAATTTGTAAGACTTACATCTTCATTTAACTAGAATGTGCTCCTGGATAATTTCAAATGTATAATTTTGCTTTCAAGGTGCTTATTGAATACAAGTAATCACTCAGGTGTGGAGGCCTTTATTATTCAAAATATCAAAAATCAAATTGACATGTCATTAAAGGTAAGAACATAGATAAAGTATCAGTTATCTGTTTATTTTATATAAGATGCTTATACTTATTCTTGGAGTACATTCATATGGATTTTTTCCTATGGGCTTTTATTATTAGGGCATTTTCACCCATGTCCAGTTCTTTTTTTAAAAAAACCTGAATCTTGATACTTTGTTAACTACAGATTTTAAATTCTTTGAGTTCATGATTTCTTTTACTTTTGGGATATACTTTTAAAATGTTGATGGAAACTTTAATCTGTGAATATTCAGTAACTCCAAGTATTATATGTGTGTGTGAAGAGAGAGAGAGAAAGGGGAGAATGCATCAGTGTTCTCAGACTGGCAGTTCCTGGTATAAATGAAAGAATGAAAATTAAAGTGAATGCATATAAAATGTCACACATGTTGTAGCATCAAAGTAGTAGAGAAAAACCGAATTTATTAAGTTGATGTGTAAAGCCTTTCCAGACTTTTCATTTGCTTTTCAGAGAACATATAACAACAAATGGTTTACAGGACCTCAGCTGATTTCCCTTCTGGATTTAGTACTCTCTCTCCCAGAGGGTGCTGAAACCGATCTACTGCAAAACTCAGATAGGTGAGATGACCCTCACTAAGGTTCACATAATAAAATCAGAATGAAATGAGAAATCTTTGCTCAACTAATTAAACACTTGCAAATGTTTTTCTGATCTATGGTTAATTTATAAAAAATTGCACAACCATTTTCATATTTAATTACTTTGTAAAAACAATTTTTCTTTCCAGAAGTCTGACAAACAGTAAGACTTTGTACCTTTGACATTCAAATATAGCCCAGAGATTTCCAATGCCTTTGATGACAAAAAGCTAAGAATCCCATGTGTCACATAAAATGAAAGTCATACATATTTGGGTTTTGTTGTTTTGCTTTCCAAAACATCACTTTTTCTCAGACTACACAATTTTGCTTTCAGTTTATTAGAATGGACTTTTTTTTAAACTGGTACAAGAGTCTTAAAATTCAGAAAGCAAGTAATGATATACTCATACTGAAGCTTCTCCCTTGAGGAGAAAACATAGTAATTTTGGGAACTTAAATACAAAATGAGTGCCAGAGCTACTGATTTTCGGAAATGTCATGACTCATTTTTGCTTAAAAAACAGAAAAAACACATAACTTTTCCAGCAATCCAATACTTCAAAAAGTAAGTTAAAGGGAATTGTTTGAGTTCACAATTATAAAAATATATCCAGTTTAACTTGCATTATTCATTGAAATTGCTGTTGATAACAAAAGGTGTGCTGTAACTAACAATTTATATATTTTTAACAGGATAATGGCTTCATTAAATTTATTGAGGTATTTGATTATAAAAGATAATGAAAATGACAATCAAGTAAGTATTTTTTTTTTTTTAAAGAAACAGTATATTCAAAATGTATGAGTATTGTTTCAGGTTTTCTTAACAGTACTTACTTTAGATAATATTTATCATCTTAACCACCTAGAGAGGCTGAAAGTGGCAAAAATTATTATGAAACCTGAATCCTCAGGAGCTCTTGCCACTCCAAATCTATCTTCTTTCCCCTTTCCTTTTTCTCTTAATACTTCTGCTCTCTTACTAAAAAGCATTTCTTAGCTCTTGTATACAGATGGGTTAGTTGCATAGCCAGAGTTAACTAACCTTTTGGAGCCAACATATATTTGGCTGTCTTCTTCAGTTGCCTCTAACTGTAACTGATCAGTTAAAGCTTAACTATATAAAGAGTAATCATCTGATATTTTGTTGTTGCCTCATTAAATTGGAGCATTTTCAGTACTAAAACTGAATTTGCTAACAGCACCTTTTAAATAATGTTGTAGGGTGTTGGATTTTTTTTAAACAGTGTATCATTGGAGGTATTCAATAAATAGAATTACTATTTGTGGGAGATCTGTCATAAAGTAAAATTATATTTATCATCTTTCTACTTATCCTATTAGTGGCTTTCTCTGTACTAGCTCTTGTAGATGTAATTACCTGAATCTAGTTTGTTTTCCCCCCACAAAGTATTTAAGTAGTAGGTCTTTATATTAAAATGCTAAAGACTTTTTAAATTTAAGTAAATTATTATTTGGAATGAAAAATTCATAGGAAAAATCACATTTTCCTTCCTTCCATTCAAATCTAGTACTCTGAATGATTTTTATTCATCCATCTTTAGCCAAAAATAGTTATTTGCTACCACTGATTAGTGCTTACTCTGTATCAGGGTTTTATTCTCTGTCAAATTTCACTGTGAAAAAATTTTAAACATAAATTTTCTTTCATACATAGAAAAACTATTATCAACAAACAAAAATTCCTTTGAAAAATTGAAGGAATTTTTATAGATCACTTTCACCTACTGACATTCTTCCATTAACATTTTATTCTTAACAGTTACCATTCTTTGATCTTCTAGCCACTACTTATTTTTTATGCATTTCAGAGTAAAATGCAAACATCAGGATACTTTCTCCTAGGTATTTCAGCATATATATCACTAAAATATGTTTATAGTTTCCCTTTAAGGGAAAGTTTACAAAAAGTGAAATGCACAGTTTTTAAGACACATTTGCTAAGTTTTAATAAATACATAGATCTGTGTTGTTGTTCAAGTATAAAGCATCATTACCATCACTAATATCACAAGTTCTCTGTGTCCATTTCCTAGTTAATTCTGATCTATCACCCATTCATTGGCATGGGCCAATTACAATTACTGTTCTGGCCAAGTGCCCTTATGTCCGTTTAAAAAAAAAAGATTTATTTATTTATGCGTACAAGAGCTAGGGTACAGGCCAGAGGTACAGAGGGTAAGAAGATTCACCAAAGACAGTGTGAGCGGAACATGCAGACTGACTAAAATACACAGCTGAGGGGAGCAGTAGGCAAGACATGAGAGGTCTGCTGTGTCAAGTGGATCAGCTCCCTCCCTGTCCAGGATCGAACTGTTACTGCATGGCTATGGATAGCTTCATAGTGCTAATATTTAACCTAACCCTGCACCACCTCGGAGGCTTTTATTTATAGAATTGTCAAGAACAAAAGGACGGGCCTCCCTTTGGCATCAGGCATTAATTAAATCTCAGCACTATGAAGCTACCTGCTGCACCCCTGGCCAGAGCTAACCCACATAGCTATGATCCCAGGCAGTGTCCAGACCCTTGGTATTACCAAGTATAAATCATGACTTCTGACAGAGCTTGTGATAAAAATTTAAAAGATTAGGAAAAATTCAGCAGCAGTGAAGATTCTGAGGCTTCAGGTAGTTGTCAGGATGAATTGGTTTTGTTTGATTTTTATTTTTTAGATTACTTTTTGTTGAGGTAACATTGGTTTAAAACCCTGTGTATGATTTAGGGGTTTAGGTTCGCATCTCTTAAAATGCATGTTACCAAGCCATGTCCCCCATCAAAGCACCCATCAACATCGTCTTCCATACAGTCCTCTGCTCTCCCTTTCTTCTTTGCCTCCCACCTCTGTCTGTTCCCTCTGGCAGCCTCAGTTCTGCAGTCCTATTTCTAAAGTTTGTTTTGGTTTAATTTGATCCTTTCTTAATCTGTGAGTGAAATCATCCAATATTTGACATTCTTCTTCTGACTTATTTTGCTTAACAAAGTCTACTCCAGTTCCTTCCATATTGCACATGGCAAGATTTCATCTTCATGTAGCTGTGTAGTAGTTCACTGTGTATCTTTGTCACATCTTTATTCACACATCTACTCTTGGGTGTTTAGGTTGTCTCTATAACTTGACTATTATTAATTACTGCTGCAATGAACATAGAAATCTGTATCTCCTTACATGTGTTTCTTTATTTGGACAGTTACTGAGGAGGAAGATTATTAGATTATATGGCATGTCTATTTTCAGTATTCTACATACTGTTTCGATAGGGGCAGGATTAGTCAAGTCTTACCAAAAGTGAAGGGTTCCATTTTGTCCACACCGTAAACAATATTTCTGTTCTTTTTTTTTTTTTTTTTAAAGATTTATTTATTTGTGCATACAGAACTGGGGTGCAGGCCAGAGGCCCAGGGACGGTGAGAGGCTTCACCAGAAACAGAGTGGGGAACAGAACAGGCAGATAGACAAAGTACACTGCTGAGGGAAGCAGTGGGCGGGTCAGGAGAGGTCTGCCACACCACGTGGTCACCTCCGGGGCAGGTGGGAATCGAACTCATGCGGAAGCGGCTTTAGATTCTCAGTGCTGTGCTTTAACCCGCTGCACCACCAGAGAGGGCCTATTTCTGTTCTTTTTGATAGGGCCCTTTCTCACTGGTGTGAAGTGGTATCTCATTGTGGGTTTAATTTGTATTTCTCTGATAAATTGGACATTTCTTTTCATGTACCTGTTCACCATCTGTCTTCATCTTTGTATGCTTATCTTCTGCCCACCTTTTTTTTTTTTAATCTGAGATATGAGAGTTCTTTGTAGCTCTTGGATATGAGCCCATTATATGATGAGCAGATATTTTCTCCCTCTTAACAGAGCGTGTCTTTTTTTAGTGACAGTTTATTATAGAGCTTTTTTTTTTTTAATTTTATTTTACAACAGCTTACTTTTACATCATTTGTACATTTTTTTTTTCCCATCTCAATTGTAATCCCCACAGATTTCCCATCACCAAGTCACCCGTGTGCCATCACTTTCCACCCCCCTGTTTTTGATCCCATTCCCCACTCCACCCCTGCAAAATGTCTCTGGTATATGGTTGTTCATTATTTTTGTTATTTTCTCGCCTGGTCCATTATACTCCTGCTATGAGTGAAACCATCCGGTATTTTTCTTTCTCTTTCTGGCTTATCTCACCAAGCATGATCTTTTCCAGCTCCATCCAAGTTGCTGCAAAAGACATGTGTTTCTCTTTTTTGGTTGCTGAGTAATATTCCATTGTATATATGTACCACATCTTTTTAATCCAGTCATCTACTTTTGGGCATTTGGGCTGCTTCCATGTTTTTCCAATTGTAAATAAAGCAGCAATAAACATGGGGGTACAGGTATCTTTTTCAATCAGTGTTTTTGTGTCTTTTGGGTAGATACCTAGGAGTGGGATTGCTGGGTCATAGGGAAGCTCCATGTTTAGCAGTTTGAGGAACCTCCAAACAGTTTTCCATAGTGTTGTACTAGTTTGCATTCCCACCAGCAGTGCAGGAGAGTTCCATTTTCTCCACATCCTTGCCAACATTTGTTGTTGTTAGTTGTTTGAAAATGTGCCATTCTCACTGGGGTGAGGTGGTATCTCATTGTGGTTTTAATTTGTATCTCCCTTATTACGAGTGATGTTGAACATTTTTTCATATGCTTGTTGGCCATCTGCATTTCTAGAGGAGCTATTTTAGTTTGTAGTCCCTATTACTTGTTTTCCTTCCTGTTGAAGTAGAGTCTAAAAGACATCACTGAAACATGTTTTGCCTGTTTTCTTCTATCTAGTTTATGGTTTCTGGGTCTGTCTTTGACTTAATTTCTGTATACATTGAATTAATGATCCAATTTTTTGCAACACCATTTTTTTTTTCTTTTTAAGATTTATTTATGCATACAGAATTGGGGTACAGGCCAAAGGTGCAGGGGGCGGTGAGAGGATTCACCAGAGACAGGGGAGCAGAACACGCAGATGTACTGAAATACACTGCTAAGGGGAGCAGCAGGCAGGAAAGGAGAGGTCTGCCACACCATGTGGGTCACCTCCCCTGCCAGGGATTGAATTCATGCTGCAATAGCTTCATAGTACTATGCTTTAACCAGTTGTTTCATCATTTATTGAAGAGACTTTTCTATCTCCAATGATTAGAATTTTGGATATTTTATCTCTGATGCCCAGTGGGCATTACAGTTTTACTGTTATCTTTGCTCCTGTTCATTATGGGAGCATTTCTACCATTACAGTAGATCATATATATAAATAAGAGGCAAACCTGCTAATGACAACTTTGTTCAAATTTTGAAAAAAGTAAAACAGAATGATACTGTAGTGATGCTGAAATGTGGGTTGTTTTTTATTCAAAAGATCACCTACCAGTACCTATTTTTGACCAGTTAAAGGTGCTGAGAAGGTAACTGGTAAGATAAAAAGAAGGTAACTGGTAAGATAAAAAGCAATCAAAGAATTGTATAGGAGTATATTAAGAAACCATTCAAACACAAAACCATGATTTGTAATTCATTTCTTTCCTATTTTGGGTTACTGTCAACTGATTTGTTCTTTTTAGAAGCCATTCCCCTCATCCTACTACTTCATGATCTTTCTCTGCATTAAATTACAGGCACCTTCACACCCACACTTTAGGTTCATGTAACTTTTCCTGAATCTTGAACTTCCATTTATACTGTTTTTATACCTAGTGTTCTATTATTTGGCAGGTATCTTTAATTGATAAAGTTGTTTTGAATTGCAGTAACATATTCAACATAATTATCCTTCAACCTTATCTACTCATATCCTTTCCTAACTAACTGCCTGCTTGCCCATTTTCCCCCCTTATAATAATGTAATAAGTAGAAAAGCAATGTCAAAGGAAACAATGTGAGATTATAAAGCCAAAAGTATCAGGCACTTTTAAATTGATGTTTTTCATTTAGGAAAAAATTATGAACATGAAGCATATATACACACATACATGATTCTGTATAATCTATAGTTGGATTTTTATTTTTCCTTCGAAAATTAAAACATACCCCTTTTGTGTTATATGTAGGGTCAAAAGACCTTAGATGTTATATGTTCCTTAGTGATTATGTTATAGGAGTCCTGCAGTGTTACCACATAAGTCATACAAAATGGAAAAACTATATATACCTAAATTTAGTTTTACATTTCTTTATTATTGTGGTTGAATATATCTTTTGCAAAGTCTGTTCTGGCAATACATTTCATTGGAACATAGAACTTTCCACCTTTTCAGAGATAGGCTATAGTGAATTTTGGAATGCGTTTAAGTAAGCATTAGAACTAAAAGGATTTCTAGACTGCTCCTGAGTCCACTTGGGTTTGAAATTAAAAGCACTTAATAGTTCAGATTTTTAGTCCTTATATGTTAAATCTCAGGTTTCTCTATACAGAAGATGAAAACTTAGTGTTTTTTTAAAAAAGCTCTAGTAAAAATGTCAGAGAAGAAAAATACTCCTATTTCCCAGCTGCCTTACTCATATTTACTTCTAAATATACAAGTTGTTCATCATACAAGGGATATGTGGAATTATGCTGGACAGAATATGCAAGAAATTTTCTTTAGCCTTATTTCTGGCATGTGAGTTTGATTTTGGGTTGTATATTAAAAAAGATTTTAAAAACAACTAAGGTCCAGCCCTCCTTGGTGACCCATCAGGTTAAAGCACTGGGGAGCTCTACGACCCAGCAATCCCACTCCTAGGTATCTACCCAAAAGACACAAAAACACTGATTGAAAAAGATACCTGCACCCCCATGTTTATTGCTGCTTTATTTACAATTGGAAAAATATGGAAGCAGCCCAAATGCCCAAAAGTAGATGACTGGATTAAAAAGATGTGGTACATATATACAATGGAATATTACTCAGCAACCAAAACAAAGAAACACATGTCATTTGCAGAAACTTGGATGGAGCTGGAAAAGATCATGCTTAGTGAGATAAGCAAGAAAGAGAAAGAAAAATACCGGATGGTATCACTCATAGCAGGAGTATAATGGACTAGGCGAGAAAATAATAATGAACAGCCATATACCAGAGACATTTTGTAGGGGTGGAGTAGGGAATGGGACCAAAAACGGGGGGTGAGGGGAAGGGAAGTGCACGGGATTATGGTGATGGAACACGGGTGAACTGGGAAGCTAAAGCCACTTCAGCTTGAGTTTGATCCCTGCCCCGGAGATGATCCACATGGCATGACAGACTTCTCCTGACCTGCCCGCTGCTCCCCTCATCAGTGTACTTCATCAGTCTGCCTGTTCTGCTCCTCACTTTGTCTCTGGTGAATCCTCTTACCACCCCTGCACCTCTGGCCTGTGTAGCCCCAGTTATGTATACATAAAATAGATCATTACAAAAAACTAAGGTCCAGTGAAGGCCTAGATTTGTTTTGTCCAATACAGTAGAACAGCCACTTGAGTAGATTTTTAATTAAAAGAAATTTTAATTAGAAATTGTTCCTCATTGGCATTGGGCCATTCTAGATCATTTTTCTTAATATAAGATTTTAATGCTAAATTTCTAGGTTCAGCCTCAGGTGTGCATCCTTTATAGGCTTTGACTGAGTAGGTTAAGTATTTTTAATTAGTATAGTGTAATTGGAGGTCCTCTATGTTTTATCAATAGGGAGGGAAGGAATATTCTAAAAGTAGATCTGTGAATATGTGACAGGGACATCATTGAGATGATGGAGAGTTGACATGTAAGGTCGTCATATGGGGGATGGCCTACAATGGGAAGGAGCATGTTTTAGACCATATACTTTCTCACATATAAAACCATGTGTAGTTTTCAAAACTAGGAGCAGTCCAAGTGGTACAGTAATGAGTATGCTGACCAAAGTAACATTTCTGCTTGTGTTAGTAGTCATATAAAATAGGTAAGGCCCTCCCTCCCTGGTGGTGCAGCAGGTTAGGATGCAGCACTGCAAGCTAGCAATAGCCGCTTCAGTGCCAGTTTGATTCCCCGCCCTAGAGGTGACCCACATGGCGCAGCAGACCTCTCCTGACCCACCCGCTGCTCCCCTCAGCAGTGTGCTTGTTTATTTGCCTGTTCTGTCCCTGCTCTGTCTTTGGTGAATCCTCACTGCCTCTGCGCCTCTGACTTCTACCCCAGTTCTGTATGCATAAATAAACCTTAATACATTTATCTAATTTATTTTTTTTAAACAATAAACTACCTTGAAAGACAACTATCTTGTCTTACTTTTGTCTCTCAGTTCATGTTTAGATAACCTGTAACTCTTGAACCAAAAAATTTTAATTTAATTTTTTTTAAACAGACTGGATTATGGACAGAACTTGGGAAGATTGAGAATAACTTTTTAAAGCCACTCCATACCGGACTTAATATGTCAAAAGCACATTATGAAGCAGAAATTAAAAATAACCAAGAAAATAGCCAAGGTTGGTAATGCGCAATTTTGTTATTACTAGGTCTAAAAATTATTCACATTTTACAACTGTTCGAATTAACTTTTAATCTTCTACTTGTCTGATTTAGAAGAAAGAAGGGACCATGGCTGCTAAGTCATTTTATTTATAATTAAAATGATTCTTTAGCATTTATAAACCAAGTAACTTAAAATTGGGTTAACAAAAAGTTAAACTACACTGTGATTTAAAATTAAGTTCTGATTACACATTTTTTTTTTTTTTTTACAAATATTTGATTATCATATTTCCTATGGTAAATTCTACAGTAAACTTACACTGCTCATATAGTTGATATTTCTATAGGCATCACTAGAAATTTTTTCTAGTGCAATAGATGTAATTTTATTACTGATGAAAATTTGTCTTTATTCTTGCCCAAAATAATGCTCTTTACCTCAAACATAACTTACATAATGCATTTTCATTTTTCTTATAACTTGATTTTATACGTAAGTGAATGATGAAAGCAGTTTATAATTTCACTTGTTTTAATGGTTAAGTGTGACCACATTGATATTTTTTCTTACAGAAGTTCAGAAGTCTAAAGATCTTTGTTATGTAACTGTAGGTGGGGAAGAGATCCCTAATATGCCTCCAGAAATGCAGCTTAAGGTAGATAATGAAATTTTCCCATGGTATTGTATAATGAAGTCATTTTGTTTAAGAGGCAACATTAATAATACTGATTATTTTGATATGCAGGTTCTACATTCAGCTCTTTACACCTTTGATTTGATTGAAAGTGTTCTGGCTCGAGTAGAAGAACTTATTGAAATAAAAACAAAGTCTACCTCTGAAGAAAATATTGAGATAAAATGAAAACTCATCCTAAATAAAAACTGACAAAATATTTTTCCATTGAGTCATTTAATACCTTTATTAAAAAAAATTTGTGAAATAGTTGTAGCTAGAAAACTAGATGTAGCTTTTCTTATGTATCAGTGTCATTACTTGGTTTAAAAAAAGCTACCTACATTGTAAATAATGTATACATCTATATATTCAATTACTATTGTTGAAAATCCAATACAAACTAATTATTTTCATAGAATATAATTGAATTGTTAACCAGTTGTAGTGATTTCATAATGCTGATGCACCTTCACTTCCATTTGGATGCTCCATTATGTTTTATGACCCCTGAATTCAAATTGGAAATCACACCATTGTAAGAGAGTAGAGGTAATTTTAGGTTCAGGCCAATTCCCTACCTCAGGAGTCTTCGTGGGTAAATCCCATTACCATCTCTTCAACTGCAGGTACAATATGAAAACATCTGCAAAGATTAATTTTAGAAATGCTCATTGCCCTTGTGGAAAACTGGAAAGTACTTTTCCTTTAAGGGTCTAAAGTAGAAAATGCTATATCTACTTCCTATTAAATATTTGTCCAACTTAATTAGTATCATTAAGAAACTGGACCTCAGCTTTATGTATGTATACACCAGTTTTTTTCTACATAAACATTAAGGGAATTAAGCAAGTCCTGAGAACAGAATCAGTTATATTTTATTTCAAAATTGTTAAAGAACTTGATACATTTAAACAATTTGTTTTAATATTCTAAAATAACTTATAACTGATACTCTATTTTGAGTAAAATGAATCACTATTCAAGCTTATCTTCTGAAGTGTTTTCCAAACAGGACTTTGCTCAATGATGTAAGCTTTAGTTGTTGTCATTTTGTAGCAAATGCTATCTATATATGGTTTGGAGGTGACCTGAAAGAAGAAACATGCAACATTATATAAATAAGTTATTTTAGTCACTAAAAAAATAACCAAGTTATACATATCAAGAAATATTGACAACCCTGTGTGCTAAAGACTGTTACTAGTTTATACAGGAAAATACCTGATCTCTAAGGTATTTCAAACATGCATGCAAAATAGTAAAATACAACAATTGCTTTAATCTGTCCAAGAACAAGGCAGACCTCACTGCCTACAGATACTGAGAACATACCTCAGAGGTGCACAAGCTTGAGACATACAATAGAGTCTTATAAAAAGGTAGTGTGTGCTGTAACAGTTCACAACTATAATCTGATCAATATGGGCCTCCCTGGTGGCATGAGGGCTAGGCTCAGCATTATCAAGCTATTGACAGCCACCGCAAGAAGAGTTCAAACCCTGGTCACGGAGCAAACCCACATGTGGTGCAGCAGACCCTTCCTGACTTGCCCACTGCTCCCCTTAACAGTGTGGATTCACCTATTCTGCTCCCCACTTTGTCTCTGGTGAATTTTCATCCCCTGTGCACCTCTGGCCTATACACCTGTTTTGTATGTTATCAATAAATGAAAATTTTTTTAAATTTTGAAAGATTTAATAACCTACTATGCCCCAAACAACGTATCTCTAGATGGCCAAATGCTCTTCTGACCCAGAATGAATCATTCTTAACTGCCAAAAGTAAATTAAGAGGCAGACTTCAGTCTTAGGAAACAGCTGCATGTGGAAACAGCAACTTCTCTGAGGAACAAAAACATTCTTGTTCAAAAGGGTATGATGCATTTTGAACCTTAACTGTTCAAGTGTGAAAGTGTATGATGTGCATGTTAAAGTCAAGAAATTGAAAGTGTGTGCGTATGTTTCCAAGTGACTCACCTTAGCTACAGTGCACATAAGATTAATGGCATTTACTGTGTTATGTACTGGAAGTATCCGTAAATTACTACCCAGGAATCTGAAAAACAATTTATGAATTAAATAGATCAGATAATGATGATGTTGTTTTAGTTAAAGATAAACCTCACTATTTGTCCATGTACCACATAGGATTTCGTACGGTTTTATAGCCAGAACTAAATTGACTTAAGTTCAATTTTGGTTGGTCTTGCAAAGAATCCCATATACTACCATGAACTCTAGAACTTGTCACCTTGATTTCATAGGACAGCAATGTAGCCTTCATTTTATTGTGACATAGGTTAATATTACAAATTTTATCGTTTGGCAAAACAAATTCACCAGTCTAAAAGAATTAACATCTGAAACAACAATTTAAGTAATATATGGTGCTGTTTTTTCCATACCTCTGCTGAATCTTGAACATCAATTTCCATTCCTCCAGCCCATGGAGGGCAGCACACAGAACCAAAAAGCTATTCTGATGAGTGTTAATAAACTTCGTAATTTTGGCTAGAAATATTTCTTCAGTTGATGTAAAACATTCTTTAGTATCCATCAATAAAAATGCAACTCCTAAGAAAGGTGAATGTAACATAAAATATCACATCTCATTTTTCTATACTCTGAAATTACAAAAAAAGTTGCTGCAATATAGTCTATGAACTAAGCCCATGAGGACAAAATACAGTAAAATTCTTACACAAAAGTTAATTCTTTGAAGTGCTTGTGTAAGATACTCTAATTTACAGGGGGGAAAACTTGGGGAATAAATAGCCATTTCTTTTTTCCCAATAAAATCACTGTCCACATGAGCTATTTTTGTATTGATATATAGATTTTGACTAATGAATACTGTGATGCTTTGTTCTATTTTCATCTTCACTCCAAAGCAAGCAGTTTTTATCATAATATATTTGACCATATGGATACCATTTTGAGTTCAATTGTAATCTAAAAATACTGTTTTTTTTTTTTTTCAGGAGCAACATAGTTTTATACAGCTGCCTCTTCTAAAATGTAACACCTTAACCTTATAATTTGATTGTTAAATACCAACTTGAATTTATATTTTATAAGAAATTTAATCAAGCTTATAATTTGTTAAATAACAATAAATTTATCTTACATGTTTTATAAGAAATTTAATCAAGACAGTTAACAAATATACTGTACCAGAAAGAGAATATATAATTGATCCATTTTCCACTGAATCTGAGTATCGAACTTTGTGGCTTCGATTTTCTAGTGCAGTTGCGACTTCAGAATTCTTTTAAAAAAATTTCAGAAATACAAACTTCAGATAAGCTTACAACCTTTTTTTTGTTAAAGCTAATTGAAATATTTAGTAATAAATTTTGTAACTATATGCTTAAAAGATTGGACTGTCAAAAATACTAACTGATCTCTGGTGAAAAAAACATTTCCTTAGTTCTACAGATACACACTGTAGGTTTGGAAATGAGAACTGTACTTATGAGAGAAATTAAGGGGATTTTTAAAGAACTGTAAGAACCAATGCAATTGCAAGCTTTATGTTAAAAACCTTGTAGATTCTGACAGGCATTAATGTATACATGGAAGGCAGGTGTGGTGTGCTGAAGTACCAGACATAGAATACTGCACAGGAGATTACCAATTCTCCAGTTTACCTGTTTACATTACCACTGTTTTATTTTTTGTACTACTTTAAAAAGTTTAAGCCTTAAGTTAGCTAGAAAACATGTAAGAAGAGTGTAGCAAGACTCATGGCTTAAGTAATGACCATTTAAAAAAATCTCGTTTCCTATGCCACTGAATTACCTCATATAACCCAAAACAAAAATATTAATAAATAAGTGTTTCCCAAATGGCTAAACTCAAGGTGGTCTTTCTCCAAGTCAATAAAAATACCTTAGGTATTACACCTCAGAACATTTATAAGAACACAAACTTAAATGATGTATAAAATAGATGCTTCCTTTCCATCATAAAATTTATGCCACTCAGCGAGTTTAACTATGGCTCTTCTGAATTTTCTGCTGTTTTAAAATTACACAATGCTTCTAGCAATGGCAGACTAAGTAATTTAGGCCAGTTCTGTTGAAGACAACTAGAAAAGCTAGACAATTTAAAAATTTTCCTTGAATGCATCATAGAGCTAGTAGGGTAGTGAAAAACTACAAAGCCAAGATCTATACAGAAATTCAAAGATGTAAGCCCAGCATTTAGACCATTTCTTCCCTGAAGGCATCTGCCAATTCAGAAAGGCAGATGAGAGGCTGAACAAAGCTTGTGACAAAAGTAGAACAGCTCTCACAGGAACTATATATAGTCTAGCATCAAACTATTTCAATCCTGAAAATCTATTAAATTGATACAGTATTACTAGTGCTCCCAGCATCTTGCAAAGGCACTCCCTAAAGCAACCTTTCTCAGTCAGGTTTTCTCATTTGAACTGCAGAGTAAAGAAAGTTATTTGAATGACAATACTTTCACTTTCTCTTAAGTATCATTCTAGATACAGAGGCAGTAAGTCCACGTATTATATACAGTAAATGGCTTAGGTCCTGGGTCATCAGATTTCTCAAGTATATAAAACATTCACATGAGTCTCAGATAAAATGAACAATGAAAAATTATGTTTATCTGAAATCCAATTTTAACTGAATGTCTTAGTTTGGTAATCATATTTAAGGTTTTGAAGGCTTTTAACTCTATGGCAGAACTAAGGTTCCCTGCCCCCCCCCCCCCACAAAAAACAAACACTATTCTAGGTCTCAAATTTTATTAACAATTTTTTCCAAATACAAATTCCAGTATACATAAAGAGTAATCAGACAAAGAGATAAGATTAATGAAAGAGAACCATCAGAAATAAAAGGCAATAAAAACTGATAGGGGATCTATACAGTGAAGAAATCAGATGATCTAGATTTTGAAGGATTTAAAATGTTTAAATGATATTAGATATAAGAGATACAAACTATGATACTAGTACACTCTTTAAACTAGTACACTCTTTAATTCTTCATGAAGAGCTCACTAATATTAAGTGACAATTGGGTCAGTGTAAGAAGCCATGATCTTGTTAACCTAGCTGAACAACATTCCAATACTATTCCAGAGGTCACCAAAAAGTCGGTCACTCAAATTATTAATTTGCAACTCCAAGAGCTCACTAGGTTAAAATAAAACCCACTTCCCAATGGGAAAGGAACACTTCCAT